TTACATCAAGGTGGGGGGAGGGGCAGCTGAAGGATTCGTATTGTGGTGCAAGAGCCGCTGTAATGCCGGGATAAGTTTGTGTATTTGGATTGTTTGTACCACTCTGGCGCTGATACTAGCTCGTCATGTCTCCATATGCTTTGTAATGCCCAAAGACGAGGCGGATAATGTCTTCAATAATAAGATTGTCTCCGCTTTGCGTTGTGAACTCTGGTCCTCCGGAGTCTCCGCTTTTGTCACTGAAGCTCTAATTAGTAGAGGAATAATCTCAGCTGAATGTAATCATTTTGCATGTACATCAAGCCCGGGACCTCTGAGGCTATGCCGGGTAATTCAGCGGCATTTGTATTGGTGACACTGTTCTTGGAGGTTCCCCTTGTGGGTTCCACCTACAGCTGCGGACACTATTTTCTCTGCAATAACTTGAACTGACAGAAGTGATTGGCAGCCCCCATTGTTCTATATATAAGAAACATGAGACCTTGTTTTTGATTCCATAAAATATATAAGATAATAAACCCAATGAAAATGGCATGGACAAAAATGTTGGGACCCTTTTAAGCCTAAAGGGAGTGGGGGGTGAGGGTCCCCTTCCAGGGGGGTCATCCCCACATTGCAAGGGCTAAATGCTTGTTTAAGTCTAGGCTTTGTATACCCCTGCTCTATGACCTAACAAAGGCAGGCGGGTATACTCTGACATACCTAAAACATGCAGGTGTAGTCTGACGTAGTAAAGCCAGGCGTGGGTCTACTCTGCCGTGGTGCAGGCAGGCGGGTGTACTCTGCCGTGGTAAAAAGACGATTGGTTCTTTTTCATCACTTTTCGGGAGGCATGGAGCATTGATTCAGGGATCTGTAGATTTGTTCACATCTCGGTATCTTCACTGTGTTTTTCCACCAGGAGGTCCCTGAGACGTATGCAATGGCTCCAACTATCAGTATCTAGTGATTATAATACCGGATTGTCCTACAAAGATGACCTTCTGGCTGTCATTGTGTGATAAAATCGTCCTTGTACTTTTCTGCTGTAAAAAGAATCCTTTGTTTCTGGTCTCCCTTCCAGACTGCACTGTAATCTACTTTACATAAACCATCTCGCAGACATCTGCTCTCTCTTCCCTTTTTATCTCGTCATATTTTTTTTTTTTCTTCTTGCCATTACGTGGAAAACCAGGCCCTTTCTTTTTGGCAGCTTCAGAACCCAAACAAGCGAGCTTTTAAAAGGGACAACCCGAGCGCTCCCTGGATGCCAGGCAGGAAAGGGTGTACTTATCTGAATTAGGGCTGCAACAACTAATCGACATAATCGATTATAATCGATTATTGGAAAAGTTGTCAACTTTTTCAATAATCGATTAATCGGCTTCCGATCAGTTGGCCCTGTTCACAGCTCCACACGCTGTGCGCCGCACCTCCTCCCCACCTCACACTTGCCGCTGCCAGACCCGCTACCGATTAACCGATTAATCGAACCTAATAATCGGCTAACTAATCGATTTTGAAAATAATCGTTAGCTGCAGCTCTAATCTGAATGGCTCCGTGTACCTGACCTCCTCTCGGCAAAGCTTTACCTGACGGCACGTTTGGGTTTCATTGAAAATAATTCTGCCTTTAGCTTCTAGCAGGATTGTACTTGTCACTCACGTTGCCACCGGCAGAGACAAATCACAGGAGACAAACGGTGGACCCGAGTACTGAATTATTGTGCCATTTGTCAACGGGAGAGTAATTTTGGAAAAAATGGGAGAGAAGCCGATCAATGTGCCAGCTTTAATATTTCAGACACATTGGCTGGAAATTTCCCAGACTTGGATGATTTTTCTGAGGTTAGCTGTACAGATCGTCTGATGCAAGTGCGTCCAACACCACCTTTTGTGGCTCTATAAGTTTGCCTTGTTGCATTTAACAGACCGGAGGCCAATGCTTGTGTGTACTGAACCAGGGGGCACTTGGGGACGTTCGGGATCATGTGTAGAATAACCTCCACCACATTCTGTAAGGAGGAAAGATGCTAATGAACGACGGCAGTAATGAGTTTCTTTCTTTGGGGTCTGATAGTCGAAAAGAGGAACTTTAGCCATCAATTTAATGTCTCCAAAAACAGTTAGTTTGAAGGGGTGCCAACTATCAAGGTTGTCAGTGTGCAGACTTCGGCTCTCAACCAAACGGAAATGGCGCTTTCCTTGGCTGTAAGGAATAGGAGGTTGTAGTTCAACCTTAAAGTATAGATTAAGACCAAACATTTTTTTCCATTTTGGATGGAGTAGGGAATGGTTGAAGCTCATGTCAAGTGTTTTTTTTTTTTTTAATTTTTTTTGCCATTTGTGTCCCATTTGAGGAGATTGCTTTTCACTTCCTGTCCTATAGACCCAACAGGAAGTGAGAGGAAAATGTTTCTGAATTGAGGGAAATCCCATTTAGATTATAATGAAACTGGTGTCCTGATTAGAAGATTTTAACTCTGTTCCTGTTCTGGTGGCAACCCAAATTTTTAGGTTTTCCCTCACTTTGTCTTGCTGACAGTGGTCACCAGAAAAAATAAAGAGTGCAAATCTACCGACCGGAGACAGAGACCGCAGGAAAAGCCTAGAGCTTTGTCCGGTGCCCTGCCTGCGCTTTTACCGTTCTTTCTGCCTGGAAACCTGAGAACGTCCATGGCATCCAAAAAGCGTCCCTTTAGGTCAAAAGCGGTTTTGGACCAGGTAGAAAACGGCGATCGTGAATTAGAATCACTTGCAGAATTGAGCGATAGCGTTTCGTGGGGAAATTCGTCATCGGACACAAAGTGACGACCGCGACGATTCTGCGCCTGAATATGCCGTGTCTACTATTAGTGACTAGTAATATTGCACCCTTGTTTGGACAAATTTCAGTGTTTTGGTTTGATTACATTATTTATTTTTTATAATTATATAATTTATGATTTCGTGTTTCAAACTTTATCATACCCGGGATGTCGTCTACTAGACTCTTGTTTGGACCGATTTTAGTGAGTTATTCCTAAGAATTACAGGCCTACAATAAAAAACACATTTCCATGCAAAACAATGCACCGCTTTGACATCCAAAAATACTGACATAATCAGACCGCCAGGGAGGTTAAGAAAAGCTTTCAGCCTCTAGCAGGGTTCCTATAGACGTCCTGCACATATATGGAATTGTACCGGCTTTGAAAATGCTTCCTTATCACTATTGCAATCATTACATTGACTTCACCTGTCGTCCTTAATAATTGCCTCTTCTTCTCCCCCAGCACTCCCCCGCGTGGCGCTAGATCTGGAAGCAGCCACACAAAGATGAGTCTCCATGGTGCCAGCGGTGGCCACGAACGATCTCGGGATAGACGCCGATCCAGCGACCGGTCTCGGGATTCATCTCACGAGAGAGGAGAGAGTCAGCTGACCCCCTGCATCCGAAACGTTACCTCGCCCACGCGGCAGCATCAGAGCGGTACGTGTCCTCCTAATACCGACCTCTGATTCTCTGCTTCTGACAGCTGTGTCCTCTGCACAGCCATGCTGAACTGACATGTTTCAGCAGACACTGAGGGAAGCTGCCAGAATGTCTCTTCTGAGGGATCGCTGCTCATAAATGTATTGATGTGGATGATGGAAATTGCTACATTGTATGCAAATGTTTGTACACCGCTAATATGTAACAATGTTTTAATTTCCGAGTCAACAGTCCAGGCTTTCATTTAATAAACAGTTATGCTTAAAGGAGAATTATGAGGTGAGTGAAAATCACTCAGCCTCATAGTTGGAGCCGACGTGTGACAATTAAACTGTCACAGGTCGGCTCAATAGATCGGGAAATGAGCGAACACACAGTCGCTCGCTCACGATAATCTCCCTGCAGAGAGCCGTGACTATCACTCACGGCTCCCTCTCCCCCCCCTCCCCGCTCCGATCCTCCAACGCTGAGTGGAGGAACGGAATGGGGAGGGGGGGGGGACAGCTGGCTCTGCCTCTAGATAGGCAGAACCAGCTGTTACTCGCGCAGCTGGGTGGATCTCGTCAGTAATGTCGGGATCCGACCCGGCTGCGGCGGTCTCAGTATATACAGAGCTGTAGCCCGCTATATACTGAGCTTTAGGTCACGGAAGAACGCTAGTATATGTTCTCCCGTGACCCCTAAGAGCTCTATGAGGAAAAGCACACACCCCATAATTCTCTTAAGTGAGGCCTCCACTAATCAGTTTGATATAAAGATAACCCCACTGCAATGTGAGGCTTCTGTGGGGAAATTGTTCATGAGGACCCCATACCACCCAACAGTCTGACACGTGTAGAAGAATTAAAAATCCTGTGGCTATGGCCGCACTTTGTCCTCAGCACAGCGCTGCTAAACGTATTTGCCTGCCTGCGTTTTCCATCAGTTTGTAGGGAGCCCGATATCCGATTACAACCATCCCCTGCAATAGAAGCTCTGTTTTTAGTGAGACTTTTCCACTCCTAAAGAAATACTTGTGATGTTCCGTTTTTTTTATTACACAAGACTGCTCAGGTGGTGATACAGAAGGCAGACCCTCCAGGTTAGCAGTTTTAGTAAGGCAAACATTAATGCATTCAGGAAAACCAATGTTTGAAGTCCTTGGAGGAAATTTTTTTTCCTCCGATTTTTTTAAAATTTCTGTTTTGATGACTTTGAGATATTTTACGCACAAAAAAAGTAAACCGAGTTCCAGAAATACATTTCTTCCTGTAATATGAGGAAGCAGCCCCTGGTATAGTTACAGGTTACAGTGTCATTGCAATGCAAAAGCATCTGAAGCAAACCATTGAGAATGGAGTAACATGCATGGATCAGCCAAGGATCTCCCTGTGATCGGATATATTAGGGGGGTCAGGTGGGTACCCAGTTGTTCAAGCTATATATAACCTAGCAAGGTATGGGGGGGGAGGGGGGTGTCTGCATCGTTTTACCTCCTGTAGACTACCTGGGCCAGGTAGGGAGGGGACCCCACACCTGGAAACTTCCCCTTGGCCAGAACATACAAAGTATAACAAGAAGAGATGGAAAAAAGAGGAGCAAGCATGGGGAGTAAGGTTAGTGAGAGGAAATGGGTAGAAAGGTGGGATGAGAGGGATGGGGTAGGGTTTGGGTGGAATGGAACTGGACTGACACATGCACCACATCCCTGTGTCTGGATGGGTGGTAGATGGCCCTTTGCCCTGTGAATAGTTGGGAACGATCGTCTTGGATGAATAATGAAAAAATCGAATGCTTTCAGTATATTCTCCTTTTGCAGGTCAAATGTATTGTAGAGGAAATATATACTTATTTTCTATCACTCACCTCATAGTTCTCCATAGTTCTCCTTTAAGTTCAGTATTATATGATGGTACATTTGACCTGCTACCATGCTCCTCTGCTCCATCTTGTGGCCATGATGCAGTATTACATGACAATCCATTCAACCTGCAAAATATATTAAGAGCATTTGCTTTTGTTTCATCACAAAACAAACGTTCATAAATATTTGTGGAGGAGAGGCAAGGTTTGGGGCAGGGTGAGGCCCTGCAAATTAATAATTAGACCCCTAAGCCATTTGTTGTCAGTGGTCGCCCCCACCGTTGTCAGCTACTCTGTGCTGTGGAGAAGGAACGGCTCCTAACTTTAATTCTTCCTCATGTCTGACTGTTGGAGGCTCTGGTACAGTAGATGGGTTTTCACAGAACCTGTAGTTCCTTCTCGGGGAAACGTTATCCGGCTGGTTGGGATGATCGCAGTGCTTAGTCGAGTCGTGCTTTACTGACCTCCTCCGACATTTGACAATGAATGTACCGATAAAGGCTGCTGGCTGCATTGAAATTAGTTTGATTGTTGCCACTTATGTAATTGAGTTTAGAAGATTGTTCCTATTGTTGCAGATGACGGCATCTTTCTCCCAGTGTACTAGTTCTCCCGAATGTCACTCGTTGGCTTTTATTTATTTAATTGAGCTAAAGAGTATTGTGCAATAACCCGTATGAGTTAATCATGTGTCATTGTCCCAGCTAATCCCAATAAACCCGATATCTCTTTGCTGCGGGTTACTGCACTGAGTGAACCCCATTGTGTATTGCTGTGTGTATGGCTGTACTGTCACCATGGTAACTGCATCATTTTTAACAGTTTACGTCACCAATATTGCATAGCATTGCAATGACTATGAACCAGTCACGTCCCCTGTGGTCTCCAATGTGTGTCCGGGTCCCATTGTAGCATTGCAATGACTATGAACCAGTTACGTCCCCTGTGGTCTCGATGTGTTCCGGGTCCCATTGTAGCATTGCAATGACTATGAACCAGTCACGTCTCCTGTGGTCTCCAATGTGTGTCCGAGTCCCATTGTAGCATTGCCAATGACTATGAACCAGTCGCGTCCCCTGTGGTCTCCAATGTGTGTCCGGGTCCCATTGTAGCATTGCAATGATTATGAACCAGTCACGTCTCCTGTGGTCTCCAATGTGTGTCCGAGTCCCATTGTAGCATTGCCAATGACTATGAACCAGTCGCGTCCCCTGTGGTCTCCAATATGTGTCCGGGTCCCATTGTAGCATTGCAATGACTATGGACCAGTCACGTCCCCTGTGGTCTCGATGTGTGTCCAGGTCCCATTGTAGCATTGCAATGACTATGAACCAGTCACGTCCCCTGTGGTCTCAATGTGTGTCCGAGTCCCATTGTAGCATTGCAATGACTATGAACCAGTCACGTCCCCTGTGGTCTCAATGTGTGTCTGGGTCCCATTGTAGCATTGCATTGCAATGACTATGAACCAGTCACGTCCCCTGTGGTCTCAATGTGTGTCCGAGTCCCATTGTAGCATTGCAATGACTATATGAACCAGTCACGTCCCCTGTGGTCTCGATGTGTGTCTGGGTCCCATTGTAGCATTGCAATGACTATGGACCAGTCACGTCCCCTGTGGTCTCGATGTGTGTCTGGGTCCCATTGTAGCATGCATGTCGAGTTTCGTGGTGATTTAAATGTCAGAGTTTGTATGTGCTAGAGAGCAGTTCCGGGTTAATTCCAGTAGTTGAAAAAAAAATGGAGTCACTTGCCCGGATCTTCTACTGTCCCGTCCCCGATCCAAAAGCTCTGCGACTTTCGGGTGAGGATCGGTCTGGTTGGACCTTATTCGGGGTGTGATAATCCGTGCTACTGGCACAGTATCGCACGTGGAGGCTTTCCAGCTTGCTGAAAAATCTCTGCATTTTTGGAACTGACCCTCCCCCTTTTTTTTGGGGAATGTGTTCTCTTTTTGCTGTTTTTGCCCCTTGAGTTAGTCTCAGGAGATACAACGGTGAGTCCCGGTTCTACACAAAGGACGGGAAGATTGTTATGTAGTGTTATTTGCAAGACTCCAAATACATTTTTTTTTTAAAGTTGGGCAAATAACAATGCTTGTTTAACACACAGACTACCCACATCCTTTTTCTTCTCACTACTCAGACTTCATTAACAGGAGGTCAGATTACACACACAGCTGACATAAACCCCTTCCTGCATTCTGCATATTCAGTTACATTGTATCAGAAAGTCCAGATCGATCTGCACCATCAGGGTCCTAGATACACTCTGTATTAAAGTGTAACTCCAACCAGTGCAATTTGTGAGGGGGGCGGGGGGGGGGGATGGGTTGCAACACCATTTTTGCCAAGTCCCTATCAGGAAATTGTCCTCATGGACTTATTGTCTCAGAGGCACAACAGAAAGCAAGTGACAATCTCTCCAATATTTAGGAAAATCCGGACAGTTGTCACTGGAACAGATGTCCCTATTTGAAGATTTCCCCTCCTGTCTGAGTGACAAACCTAAAATGTTTCATCTTCCTCCAGTTTCTCTCCCAGGGCCAATGGTAACCAGTAAAGAAGTGCCAATGGTAACCAGTAAAGAAGTGCCAATGGTAACCAGTAAAGAAGTGCCAATGGTAACCAGTAAAGAAGTGCCAATGGTAACCAGTAAAGAAGTGCCAATGGTAACCAGTAAAGAAGTGCCAATGGTAACCAGTAAAGAAGTGCCAATGGTAACCAGTAAAGAAGTGCCAATGGTAACCAGTAAAGAAGTGCCAATGGTAACCAGTAAAGAAGTGCCAATGGTAACCAGTAAAGAAGTGCCAATGGTTACCAGTAAAGAAATGAGGCTAGATCTCCCAACAGGGAAAATATCATAGAGGTGCCCATGCTTGCTCTGTCCAGAACTATGGAAAAGCTGAATTTTGTCTTTTTGTTTAAACTAAATATTTTAAGAGTCGTACGAAAATCTGCAATTTTGTAAACTTTTTTAAATAAAAAAAATGACCAAAAATATAACGGGGAGCTGTTCCCCCATTGAGCCCGGACACGTGTGATCACCCATTAGGAGTTTAGAAATGGCCCAATAGTGATACTCAAACTCAGAACATTCCGACAGCCTGTGTCCCCCACCCTGACCTATTGGCTTATTTGGTTTTTTTTTTTGGTTCAGATACCTTTTTTCTATGGCCGTTTTTTTAATGTTTATCTCTCAGCAAAAGATTAATCAGACGTTGGTATAGTAGAATGTGTGGCTCACCAGGAACATTCGGCTTTGCCCAGAACTGCGAGGAGCCGATTATCATAAAAGCTGTTTATTCTTTCTCGCATTTTGATATATTTTGATATATTCCGTCCTGATTGTTTTGCGGATCATTGTGGAGGAGTCCTGAAAATGAGATAATGGCATGCTGCTGGTAATTCAATCTGGGCGCGGGGTCCTGAGATGGCCCTCAACAATCAGATTTAAGAAGGTGGAATATCTGCAATCAATAGGAATTGAGTCAGTTTGTGAAAAGAGAGGAAGAGAATCTGCCATATGACTGCCAGAATGTTATTGATGGTAGTAGCTGGAAGTAGAGAGTACAGTGTTATTTCTTCAGAACAAGTCTTAGAGCCCATAGTTGCAATGGGGGGGGAGGGAAACAATGACAAAGTTTGTAAGCTTTGAGAATTGCTCTCCTCTCTGTGCAGTCATATAACACCGCATGGAGCTAAAGGGTTCATGCATTACATAACCTTTCTTGTGGCAGGTAAGGTCACTCTGTATTGAGCGGTTCTCTTGGTTTTGCCCTTTTAGGCAAACGTGTAATAATTTGCAAGGGGAGGCATACCTGTACAAGTGTACAGACCTTTACCGCCACAGCCAAAGCCCTCTGGGACCATTCCAAAAATGTTGATCTCCTGGATTCCCAGAAGCTTTCACTGGCACCTCCTGCTGACCCACAGACTGATGAGAATCGCTGTGTAATATGGAGGTCAGCAGGAGGAACTGGTGAGAGCTGTGGAGGACCCTGC